GTGTATCTGCTCTTGTTGTTCTGTTGATGTCAGGCATTTGTCTATGAAACTGCTCAGTAGGAAAGGAGGAGGCATTCCTGTTACCTTATTTGCTTAATGGATAGCCTCCAGCAGAGGCCTAAAGCAGCCTTATGTTTTTATTTCTTCAGTTGTTGTCTTTTTGATGCTAAATTCTGAGCATGTTTCCAGCACAGGCAGGTGAGTCAGAGCTGTCCTTAAATTTCAGTCTCCTGCCTGATGTTGTGAGCTTTTAGATATGGGCTAATGATTGCTCTTGGATATTTTGGATAATGTAGAAGTCAATCTTCTGAAGAGTCACAGTAGCTCAATTAGAATTTGATGCTTTAGAAGTTGCCTAAATTGTATTTGTGTAAAACGGAAAGACAGCTTTGCTGTATAAGTAATAGATTGCTTAAATGGTGACACAGTTATATGCTTCCTGACTTTTGAACTCTTGCAGGTGAATAAAATGTTTAAAAACTTTTAACAAGTGAAGCTGTAACAAGGAGTGATGTAACAGTTTGGCCAAATGTGGTGTGGGAGTTTGTAAAATAACAGTTTAAGTATTACATTATATAGGAATGGAAGAATTCAAATGTCTGTGTGATAAATTGGTTTAAACAAAATATGGATTAAATGTTCTGTTATTTCTGAGCCCTTGGTTCATGACATAGAGAGTTTTCTCATGTTCTATTATGTTGAAACTCAATTTGAAATTATCATTTAGAAAAACTCAGAGTCCATACTAGCCTTCATCCCAGACATTCAAAATGTGTTTTAAAATTAGCTGTTTCAAAACAAGGATTAGTGGGAAAAGGAAGCTGATGCAGACACTTTATGTTACTGTTAGACAGCTGTCTAACAGGATATTAAGAGTGTATTAATTGTATAGCTTCTTGAATAGTTTGTAAGAAATGTAATAAGAATGCTGTGTGTTTTAAGTAGAAAATGTAAATGGCATTTTTCTATAGGGGCGGTCTCTCACTCATTTTCAGTCTGTACGTAAACAAGTAACACAAGTTACTTTTTATGAAACACAAGTTCCACACAGTAAGACAGTGTGATTGCCATTTTCTTGTTGAAAACTAAATATATTTTCATATACAGAGATTTAACAGGAGACCTAATGTACTGTGCTGGGATTATGTAGCAGAATGGGACTCACTGCATGTGAAGTCTACAAGTGTTTTGTGGTCTGTTTTTTTTAATCCATGTAATTTTTTGATTTTGCTTTTTGTAGACGCTGCTGGAAGCACTGACAGTTGCCATTACAGGTAAATGGTAGCCATCCTATTGTCTGATTCCGTAAAGAATTTGGAAAAGGAATACAGTCTGTTGTATGAATTGCCATTAGAGTTTTTTAGATGTGACTAAAATGATCATGAATCCTGTTTGAAAATTTTAGTGACAGTGATATGAGTTTAGCAAAAAATCAGGGAATCAAGGGAGAAAACTGGATTCTGATCAAGAACTGAAACTGTACAAGCCTGAAGTGAGAAATGAATTGTGCCATGAATTCTTTCAGTATAGCTATCAATGTTCTTTCCTATAAGGCAGCTGTTAGCAGAGCTGATCTGAAGTTGAAATATCCCTATCTTTCCCCTCAGTTTCCTCAAAGGGAATTTGAGTTTGGAGAGTTCTGTACTTCATGGTTAGGGTTGTGAAATGGAGTGGTGTGTGGACAAATCGTGGCATCACTTTGCATTATAGTTTCCAGCATAAGCTGAAACGTCTTCATCGTGGCTTATGACCTGCAAAAAAAAGTCATTTGGGGAAAAGAAAGATTAAGGAGGAAGGAGGGAAAAAAAAGGTTCCACTCATTTCTGTAACCTTTCCCCTTCTATCCCCTGATCAAAACTTTGGAGAGTTTTGAGCCTTTGGAGAGAATTTTGTTTTTTACCCTTGCTTCAATATCATGAAAAATTCAGATAGCTTTTCACTTAAGATCTCACTTACCTATGCTTAAAATATTTTTGTTTTGGCAGTGTTTTTTAATTGTGAGTAGGGAAGACCTGTTATTTCCATATAAGAAGCTACAGTTATCAAGAAACTGTCAAACTCAGTGCAAGGCCCCTGAATCCTATGATCATGAATTCGTAGTGCAAAGACAAGTTCAGCTATAGTTTACTTTTTTTTGTTCACAGTTAAGATTTTTTTTCCTGTCTGTGAAAGTTTAAACTTCTGTTTCCTCAAAAGGTAACGTAGCAAATACATGGTGTAGTGTTCTTTAATTGACAGATTACTTTTTCTGTTTATAGTTAGTTTCTACGATGTCTCCATCGTCTTGCAAGCCTTTATTCTTACTACCGCTGTATTTCTTGGGTTGACTGCATATACTTTGCAGTCAAAGAGAGACTTCAGCAAGTTTGGAGCAGGGTATGTTGTCATATTGATGATTTTCAGAAAATTATTTTCTGTTAAGGTTGTTTTTTCTTTCTTAAAGCAAGCTTTGCAGCTGTAATAAGGAATACAGGTCAAAAGAACTTGCTTCAAGGGAATGGTGAGGGTTTTATTTATCTTAAATTATTAATTTTACACAGTTCTGCTTTTCTGGTAAATTTTTTTCTGTGATTATAATTCTTAAAACCACTAGAAAACTAGTTTATCTGGAGTTTTCACTGAGACAGAAGGCAGCTGTTTCAAATATTTTTAAAAAAATTAAAGTTAGAAAGTAACTTCTGACAACTTTATAAAACTTACTTCTGACACCAATGAACAGTTAGCATCTAAGAAGAGGTTTTGTAAGAAGGGAGGATATTTTAAGTTTAAAAGAAAGTATATTGTTGCTCACAATTTATAATTTTTTTTCAGACTCTTTGCTTGTTTGTGGATTTTAATCCTCTCAGGTTTATTGAGGGTAAGATACCTTGTGTTCATGGTTACAAGATATTCATAGAATCACAGAATGATTTGGATTGGAAGGGACCTTAAAGATCATCTTGTTCCAACTCCACTTGCCATGGGCAGGGACACCTTCCACTAGACCAGGTTGCTCAGAGCCTGAGCTTTTACTAACTTCTGGTAGAACAAAAAGGTTTTGGACAGCTCAATGTAACTTAAAGAAAATGCCTAACCAGATTCATGACTATTCCAGATCGCACTGGTGATTTTTTAACAAGTCATTTCCAATTTGGATTTTTGTTGGGTGCTGTTCTTGCCCAATATTAAAGGGGTATTCGTGTTGATTGACAAAATTTGTCAGTCGAGATCCACTACTTGATTGAGAGAATGGGAAGGAGATCATTTGGGTTTTAACTGTATTTTGTTTTTCTAATTGTTGTTAATACTCTGCAGACCAGAGTTTCCTCCCTCTTAGATGTGGAGGCACTTTTACTCAGTTAAAGAGACAGTGACTGGGGAATACATGGAATAAGGACATTGAAATGCCATCATAATACCGTGTTTGTGTGTACATAACAGTAGGAAGACCGTGTTTTAAGTGTGGCATATCATTATGCATAGTTTGAATATTGAAAAGAAAATTAAATTTACAATTTTTTTTTCATATTTTGTCTACCTCCAGCTGTTTTTCTATAGTGAGACAATAGAGTTGGTGTTTGCTGCTGCTGGAGCTCTTCTGTTCTGTGGATTTATTATTTATGACACTCATTTGCTGATGCACAAATTGTCCCCTGAAGAGTACATACTGGCTGCAATCAATCTCTACTTGGACATCATCAATCTGTTCTTACACCTGCTGCGTTTACTGGAAACATTTAATAAAAAATAGCCAAAAGTGGTGTGGTTTGACTATAGCACAATTTGGATGATCTGCAAACTCAGTTCTGTCTTCTAGAGACTGAATCTATATTATTTTTTCATTCCATGAATACTAATCCGTCCTTAGGGGGGAAAAACGTCTTTTTATGTAGCTACAGTTCTTCTCTAGACCATATATTTTATGCAGTTAACATGCTGTCATCATTACGGTCACTTTTTTAATCTCTTAATTTGCACTTGACATAATTAATGATGAAAAAGTTTGCCAACTTCTTATTGCTCCAGAGTAAGCTTCCCTGCTGTTCTGTAGCTGCTGGAAATGTTTCCTTTGGGATTGATCATAAGTGTATGTATCACATAAGGGTAGGCTGAGCTTACCATTGTGCTAAGCTAAATTTTACTAAGCTAAATTTTTTTCTAGTTTTTGTTTTTGTTATTTGTGTTGTTTAGTTTTTGTTATCTGTCCCTGACAGATAATCTGTTATTGTTAAGGGCTGTCACTATGGAGCTGTGAGGGTGTTAAAACCAGTAAAGGGAATGTTCTTCATTTTAGTATTATTTATGGCCTATCTTTCAGTGTCCTGAAAAATCATTTGGAGATAGATTCTGGGATTTTATCAACTTCCGTGTGTTAAGGTTAATTGTGTCAATAAAAATTGGAAAGCCTTTTGTCTGTTCTTGCTGCCAAGACTGGAGAACTTCAGGGTGCCGAGAATGAACTTTGCAGAGCCTTGCTGGCCGGGGAGAAGTGCCGTGACTGTCTCTACTTCCCAAACTGTGGAGATCCTGGAAGGGCAGGCAGGGTAAAAACAATTTTGAAAGGCTTTCTACTTCCTATGCAGTGTTGTTACTGCTGTCCTGGCCTGTCAGTGAGACTTAGTGACAAGGCAACGCAGTAATTGGGAAATCATCCATGTCCTGCCACAAGCTGTGACAAGGTGTGTTTTCCATGCTGGAACTGGACTGATGCTATTGAAGTGAAACTGCGGATTGGTTTGAGCAACTGTGATGCTTTCTCTCTACTGCCTCTTTTAGAAATGCGTTTTAGTAGCGAAGAATAAAAGCTCGCTTTTTTCCCTGTGATGAAGCACGTGTTTATTTGTTCATCCATCCCCACGCCCTCGACACGCCCCGGTGATTGGATAAGATCCCGCAGCGCAGCCGTCGCGGGGCGCGATGGGGGCACTGCGCGCTCGCTCGGAGAGTTACGGTAGGGCCCCCTGCCCCGGCCGGCCGGAGGTCGGGGCCGCGCCCAGGGGCGGGCCTGGCACGTCATCCTGCGCATGCGCGCGGGCGGCGCGGCCTGAGGCGAGTGCTGGCGGCGGCCTCGTGCGCGGCCAGGTGAGCGGGGAAGGGGCGGTGACCGTGTGTGCGTGCGGCTCCGCGCGCTCACCGCGCCCGCTCCCCTCCGCGCAGGACATGGCCAAGAGCCTCAGGAGCAAATGGAGGAGGAAGATGCGGGCGGAGAAGAGGAAGAAGAACGCGCCCAAGGAGCTGGAGAGGCTAAAGAAGATCCTGGGAGCCAACGCGGATGTTGTTATGGAGGAGATCAAGGAGGTGGCAACCGTGCTGCCTCCCAAGAAAGTACTGGAACAGAGGGGTGAGTTGGGCTCTGGGTGGTTTTTCCTGAAGTCACCCAGGTGCAGGAACGTCCTGCAGTGTTGTTTACTGTTCCTGTGACTTACGCTGAGAATAGTGAGTTGGAAAACTTTTATCTTTTAAAGCTAAAAGATGCTGTTAAAGCACTGAATCTGGTCATTTCGCAACGTTGGCATCCATATTGCATCCGGTCACTTGTGGAACAAGGTTATTAACATTTGATTTTTAGTATGTAAATTATGTAATGTATTTTATGGAGATGTACTGTGTAGTACCTTATAGAAAGACATCTCTGAAAACATCAGGTGAATGAAGATTCATCGCTTAGCAATTGTTCCAATCACAGCATTATGTTTACTGCTAAACAAGAGGTAGGATATAATTTCCACCCTAATTTAAGAAGGGCACTAAACATATAAACTAAATCTAAAGTAATTTCATAGAATTTTTTATCAAGAATATAGTGGTGTTTAGCTATTTAAATGTACTGTCTCAAGGTAGGGGAAGTACGGAGCCAGTTTCGGTTTACTAATTAATGATGCATTGCACGTGGTGCAGGGATGGGTGGTATAACGCCATCTTCCTCTTTCTGCCTTAAATAGGAAGTAATCAGTAAAGAAAGTGGGCAGTTACCCAGGAAGTGGAAACAAGGATTTTAAATAGCTGCATACTGGACAGGAGTCAGAAAGACGCTTTCTCTTGCAAAAGCTGAAGTCCAAACTAAATCGTAGTCCTTTTTACTTCTCTAGTTTATGGCAATTAAGATGTTCTGATGTTGAAAATGGAAAGAGAATGCTATATAAAAACACCTTCCCAGTTAAGGATAGCTTAAATTATAATATGAATTTTTATCCATGGTTCCGATTTGTCCTATAAACCAGGTAAAAGTTGTTTTTTAAATGTTGTCAGTCTTCTGATGCTGAATCTGGAGGAAAAATCATTGCCTTAAACCTGCTTTCTGAAGCAAATGCATGACTGTCTGTCATTCCTACACCTCCTTCCAGCTCTGCTGGCAACTTCTCTACAAGTGGCCATTGTCACTTGGCTTTTGCAAGAGATAACAGCCTCAGGAATACCCAAGAATATATGTCTTTCACAAACAACTACGAGTTTTGTGAAAATAACAGTGTCTTCTGTGAAAGGACTTTTCAGCAGTAAGTGTGGACACAAGGGAGTTTGCATCACCAAGTGTTACAAGGATTGAAGTATATAAAAACTTTATCTAGAATATGTACTTTCCATAGACAGGTAAATAATTTTCCAGCCCAAGAAAGTATGTAAGTATATATTAGGGACATTTTACTGTGTTACTCTAAAGTATTTTTCACAGCACCCTGTGAATTTCTTTTTTAATTTTTTTCTCAGTTTTTGTTGCTAGGAAAAAAATAATGGAGGGTCTGGTTAGCCTTTGGTCAGTAGTGGTTTTGTAGCTGTTTTTAAAACTTTGTGGGGAGGTACATATTTTTCAAGATAGTCGTATCTATTGAGTCGCTTCAATAACTGACCTTTATAGTTTTTTTTCTTGGTCCTTCTCTCTGTCTTTAACCCCTTTGATAGATTTTCTTTGTGTCCCTGGACAGCTTCTGCTTAGTGAGTTTCTTCCTGTTACTGATTCCTACAGCATCCTTAAGGTTGCAGAATACAATGAAAACATTATACTGTGTGAACAACTGATATTTTTTGTCCAAGAGTATTCATTTAGTTTATGTTGCAGCAGACATTTATCGTGAATGTGCTTTTAATCTGTGTAACAGATTAACCTGTCATGTGATAGGACAGGAATTTGAGAAGAAGCTTATGTATCTGCTGCTGGGTTTTTGTTGTTGTATTATTGGAGGCTGTATCTCCTCTGTCATTTGGAAGACCACGCTGTTAAGAAGGCCTCGTGTTTCTCTGATACCCTGAAAGGTTTCTGGAGCTGGAACGTTTTTGCTGCCTGTCCCATGCTGGATCAGCCTTTGGTTCTGCAACTAGGCAGTAGGGCCCTGGGGTGATTCTCTGCAGACTACAAGTATTTGTATCCCAACTCAGGGCTCCCTAAGCACATCTGTAGTGCATTCCTGTAGACTATCAGCAATGCTTCAACCATAGAAGCAGCACGTTAGCATTTTCCTCATGAGCTTTATCTCCTAACAACAGGCACAATGTGATAAAGCTTTGAGTTGCGTACAGATGGTTTGGAAACAAGGTTGAAATGAAATTACAGAGCACAGTTCCAACCAGTACTTAGCAAGGTGTTCCTCTTGCAGCCTTGTTGTTTCACCAAGGCACGATGTTCATGGGGTGTTAGCTGGCTAGGGATGCTGTTTTTGAGAGTGAGCAGGTTATGGGCGGTCTTCCTGATCCTAGAGATTAAGCCTCTCTTTCTGCCTGTAAATGTGTTAGACTTGATGTCATACTTGCTCCTTGAGGCAAGTGTGGCATTCCTGGCTCATTGTTTGTATACCGTTGTTGTCTCTCTTTATTGTTCTCTTTACCTGTCTTCATCTTCCACTCAGATTAATTTAATTTTTTAGAACAGATCTTAAACATTACATCATAAAAAGTGTGTGATTGTGCATATGTTTCAGTAATCCCATGGCTTCCTGTATGGTTGTGTGTCTCTGTGGTGGAGACCACACACAATATTTTTAGATACAGTATTGGAACAGATGGCAGACTAAAGAATAAGATGCTTTGCCCAGACAAGGGCCTTTAGGGAAAATTCTGCACATTTACTATCAACTGTTGAAGTTCCTGGGCTGTGGTTGCATTGATTGGGAAAGTGCTTTCTGTATATAAACCCTTCAGCTTTCTATGTACAAATACTGGGGATATTTTGGGGAATCTAATAACAAAAGAACATCTATGAAGCTGATTCAGGTATTTTTCTCACTGTATATACCCTTCATTTTCAGATGACTGCAAAATGGACCTGGATAATAAACGGAACAAAAAAACTCTTCTAGACCAGCATGGACAGTACCCGATATGGATGAATTCCAGGCAAAGAAAGAAGCTTAAGGCACAGCGTGTTAAAGGGAAAAAAAAATCAAAGTTGACCAAAGGCCTTGTCTGGTAAAACCAGTTTTGTAAGATTGTGAATATTTTACTCAACAAAATAAATTTCCCACATATTTTGTGCTTGGTCACTGAGTATAATTTATTGTGTTGAATGGAATTTGAAGAGACTATTGTGCCAGCAGATGATGAAACAAGGATCAACTTGGTGTCTCCTTAACTTAAAAAGCAAGCTGAGTGCCTTTGAGTAGACTAATTGTCTCTGGTTATCTGTTTTCTTGAGGGGGGGAGGGTCTTCATCTTTTATACTGTGAACACCGAAAACACTAAAGGAAACCCTAAAAATAATTAAACCATATGTTTTGTGTACTGTGGTCTTTGTCAGTGTAACTTCCCTTTTAGTAAATATAACCAAAGGATTCTGTAAGCTTGCTGTATCCTTAAATCCTTCTGTAAAATTAATTCTGTTGCACTGATTCATTTTGCTTTTAACATCTGGTAATTAGTGAAAATGGACTTTGCACATAACCTCAAAAATTTTATGTGCTGAAATCAACACCAAGCCTTCATGACACTTCTGCAAGTGAAAAGAGTGTCAATCTGACTTTAATTCACAAAGAGAACTGTTGCTGTCTGCAACAGAAATATTATAGGACCTAAATAATTGAAAGTAAGACTGATTCTTTTATTATTAAAATTAGAGAACACATATGCACAGAATGGAAATAAAACAGTTTTGTTTAACATCTTTTCCAAGTTTTAGTAAAGTAAACAAGAATTTTCATTTTCATATGTACTTTCAGTAGCCTTTTATGCCTCTTAAAATGGTACTCATCTATCATGCGTTATGATGTGTGCATAGGTTAAAATCTTGCATGATTGCACATCAATGATTAGCTACAGTTAGATGTATATTACTTGGCAATAACATGTGATGACAGATGGAAGAGTTTGTTGCCCTGAGAGCTTGTGTTTTTAAAATATCTCTCATTTCAAGGATGGAAATAATTATAGTACTGGTCCTGCAGTGTGTTGCCTTTTCAAGTACCAGTCATCAATACAGGGCATAACCTTTGTCCAGCTTTCTCCAAGATGGGATCCACATTGTGTAATTGCCCACAAATTGTGATATGTGTCTGTTGTGATAACTGGGGCATAAGAAAGGAAATCTGTTCTTTTCAAAGTAATTACACTAGGTCGTAGTGTGCTAAAATCAAATAAGAAGAACTCAATGTGAGAGAACATTTAGTTTTTCTGGAAAAATACAGTGTGTTTATTGTTATTCTTACTGTTATGGGAAAAGTACTCTGTTGCTCAGGTAAAGAGCTACACGGGTGTTGGAGGAAATACCAGTGCATCTTCTGTTTTCACATACATTGACAGTTAATGAGACTTGATAAGATGTATAGATCACATATTACCAAATTACATGCCAATAATATCCTTATACTTTAAAAATATTTCCATTAAGTTGGTAATAGCCCTGCTAAAAAACAGCTACTGCTCTCAATTTTTTATTAGATAAATGGGTCTAGATTTTGATATCAAACTTATCTAAATGTTAGCATTTAGATTAGGACTACTTTAAAATTGATTCATGCAGAGGAAAGTGTTCATGGATGCGTTTAACCAAGAATGGAATGGAACGAAAAGTCAGGTTTTATTTCTTTACTATTTTAATGATGTAGGCTTTATTTTGCTTAGTACATGTTGTGGGGAAACGTGGAGGGGAGCTTCTTGGGTTTAAATGTGAAAAAAAAATGTTTGTTTTTTTTCTGTACAGTAAGCACAGTGCTATTTTTAACATGCTTGTTTGTAAATCAGATAACTTTCAAGCAGCTGCCAGTGGGAAAGTAGGCTGATTTTCCTGAGGGGAGATAATCAAACTGGCAAAATACTCCTGTTTAAAGGTCTAGCTTCAGAGTCAGTTTATTTTCAGTCTTTAGGTGCACAGCCATACTCTGCCTCATTCATCGCTGCACTTGCCATAACCTCTCCTCACTCTTGAGTTCTGCCTCTGCTCCTTCCTCCTTAAGAGAATATGATTTTCACAACTAAATAGTCTATTTGTGCTTTTATGACCTAGCCCTGATCTTTGTTTTACAGATTTATTAATCTCTTGCTTTTGTCACCAGATAAAAATTTGAATCACAAGTGAGACACGGCAGATGCTGCACTGATCTTTTATTTAGCAGTTCCTTCCTTCCTGAAATAGTACTGGCTGTGTGAGGTATTTCCTTCAATGGTGTCCAGGAAAAAGTCAAACGTTCACTTAAACTACAGTTATTTTAAGACATCCTGTTTGATTTTGAGGTGAAATGGAGGATAAGGAAGGAGTAAACCCCAGTCTTTAGTGGAAGGTAGCTCTTAGTCAATTACCAGTGTATTGTGTACAATGTCACAACTCACTTGGGTGGGGCAGAGCTCTCTATGCGTCACCAAAGATTTTTGAGAGCCTGGTTGGGTCGGATCTGTAATCCAGGTTAAAAGCTCTTGTAGACAGAGAGCAGGAACCTCGCTAAATATGCGGCACAAATGTAACCTCATGGTTACAGCAGGGAAGTTCTACGTTCTGGGGATTTGAACATATACATGGGTGCTGTAAGTTTGTATTTGTAATTTGCTTTAGATCTGCTTTGAGCAACTCTGTTTTTTAAATGAAAATACAAAACTTGTAGTTGCCATTGAATAATTGATTCATACTGCTGAATCTAAACCACATTTCTGTTTGAGTTGATGGAAAAAATAATTCATGTTTCTTTACAATAGAAAATTACTTTAAACATACTTGATTTTGGCTGAAAAACATATTTTAAAAGTCCTTAGAGGGATTTTCAAAGTAGTAATTGATCTTCTAAACAGCATTCTAATAATATCATATTTCATTGGTCTTTGTCAAAAAAAATTTCTTTAGGTTGTGATTGAGTGAGAAAAGGTTGCAGTAGATTAAAGAAACTGATGGAAATCTAACTATAACTTAAATGGCACTGTCAGAGTTGTGGTTTGGTTCGTTTTTTTTTAAATTCTGTAGTTGTGCTGTTATGAAACTGCTTAGTTGAAACTTCCAACCACTGTAACTCTGCCACCTACCTGCAAAGTGCTGTAGTAGCTGTATTTCAAGGAGCTGTGTACAAAATGTAGGGGAAATAATGCAGACACTTTAGAACTACAAGCGTAAAAGCCAGCACTGAAAGAATTAAACACTGTCATTTTACTGAAATGTTTATAAGATGTGTGTGTGTGTGTATACAGTATAAAAATTGCATTAGCAAATTGCTAAACGTCCTGCAGATTGTCAGCAGTTTCCTGAGAAGATGACAAGGTCTGCCCTTTTTTGACCCAGGATGCAGGACTTGGTTTTCAAAGTGAGTTATTTCAGATGCCTAAAATAACTAGTGGCAGTGGTGGTGGTGCAGTTCCTGGGCTTTTTTGGTTATTCGGTGCTCTGGGACACCTTCTCTGCACTGTGTAGTCAAGTGGGTTGGGGGACCAATTAGCTAAGATACACTGAAAATGTTCCTATTTCCACAATTTTTTTCAACTGGATTGCTTTACAGCTGTACTCTACAAAAAGCAGTGTCAGTAGGAGGCAATACAAGACCAGGAACAAGTGGCTGATGAAGGCGAGGCTGCATCAGATGGTCCTGTTGCTGAAGTGATCTCATCAGCCACCTCTCCTCCTGTGTCATTGGTAATTCTCAGTGCAGCCACCATGCAGATACAGCGTTTTTAAGGAGGAGTAAATTTTGGAGACTAGGTCAAGCAAATGTATTGACTGGTGGTTTGGAAAGTGTTTCTCAGTAAAGGATAGAGTATTAGAATAATTGAGATCTGTGTTTTTTCTTACAGTCCCTGTTAAGGTTTGCTGTAATGCTGAGATAACGTGGGTTCCACTGTTGCATAAAGTCAGCTGTGAGCTTTTACAGATTCTTTCAGTCTGCTTTATCTACATGACACTGGTTATAGAGGAGGCTAAATATAGTTTGGGGCTGCCTAGTACTGAAGGAAGAATGTCATGGCTGCATGCTGCAAAGTGCTCTCCTGATATGTGGTCACAACTGGTTTTTTTAAACAACAAAAGGAATCCTTTACAAAGGCTTTATAGTATACATCTGTTTCTATTATGCTACCTTTTCCACCTGCTGCTTAAACAATCACATAGGTTCTGAATTTGATGGAAACCAGATATCTGATCTGTCTCTGATTTGTAGTGTGAACTATTCTGGTATCAGAGATTATGGGACTACAGCCTTAGCATGCAGAAATCCAAGCAGTGCAAAGCAATCTGCCCCTTAGGGTGGCATAGTCATCTATGGCAGTTGTCAGGAGGATGACAGTCTGAAGCCAGAGCTATGCAGACAGTGTTTTGCCATCCATTTTAACTTAACTAAGGGCGAGGTTTCAGGGGAGGACTGACTGAGCCATATGACAACTTGCTTCTGTAGGAAGAGGCTCTTTTCAGCTTCCTCCCTTCCCTTCTCCAGTTGCATTGTCCAGTTCACAATTTCCTACTTCAGTAGAAACAGACATTGGTATTTATTTTTTTTTCTGAGCTAAAAGTGAGAAAGAACTAACAACTTTCTTCTGTTAATGAAGACTCCACAATTGTGACAAGGCCACCATTCCCTGTCCTTTTATTCTTCCTATACTACTCCAGTGTTCTGATCTCAACTTTACCTTATCAATAGTGACAGCATTTAAAGGAAAAGAGGAGCCAAAATGGGAAGAGGATGATATTTGCACTGCCCCCTCTCCCTCGTTCCAGTCACTTAAGCATTGCTCTCTTAGGTTTCTTAATTTTTCTGATGCACATGTATCAATATAAAAGGTCTGAAATGTTAAGAACAGTACATGGTATGACGAGAGGGGGTTGTGTATCAAGAGCCCTACGCAAGGTAACATGACAACTGCTTTGTGAAGGGCTTGTATATTCAGAGCAAACAATCAGTGACTTTTCCCCTGTTTTCAATCTAGTCAACTATTCAGGAGACTATGAAAGTTACAAGTTATATTCTTGTTTGGTAAACTATTATTTAGTATTTTTTCTCTCTATTTGCAGTTCATTTTCTTGCAAGGCTTCTGAAGTCTGAAGGTAGATTTTATAACATTTTTCAACTTTTGCCTTTATCCAGAAATTGGGTTTGTGGATAGTATTTCAGGAAACAAAGGTGCATTTGTTGTCTCAGGACAGCTTATCCGACTCAGCCAAGCTGATCTATTCATACATTCATGTTATTTGAAACATGCATAATGTCTCGTTTTTGAAAGCTGACAAATTCATAACATATAGGTGCAACAGCTATTCCATGGTGCAGCTTGCTACCTTGAGTCTTTAAATTACTTTGGCAATAGATGTTCTGTAAAATAAACTTTGGTGGATTGTGATGTCTGTTTATGAAACAAGAACTTTTTAGATCTGTTGACTACTTCTGTCCATCTTGCTTGTGCAAAATGTGAAAACTTGGTGCAGACCGGATCAGAGCTGCAGTTTGTCTTGCAGATGAGTACAAAACATTTCTATGAAGGATTAGAGGATGAGCTTTGTGACAACAGCTTCTTGCTCATGGAGTCTCAGGTTTAGCTCATGGTCACTACTGCTACTGAATAGCCTCACCCCAAATCCAAAATTCACGTTAGTTCCCTTAATATAAAAAAAAAAGCACAAAAAGATATTTAAAACTAAATTGTTTGTGAGAACTAAGAAAGATAAGATACACTGCTTTTTCCGAAGTCCTTGCACTTCCTTGGAATGTGGTACTGTTAGAGGACATAAAAGCAAGAAGCCAGAGATTGAAGTGCACCAGGTTCTATGCAAAGCCCATGGCGGAGCTGCAAACTACCCATCCGAACCCCAGCTGTGTTTCTTCAGAGAGTTGGATTGTTTTTTTTCTCTCCTAAATGTTCTTAAGGCTGCCTGAGTTCTTGTGAAAACAACACAAAGTTAGCCACGCTTACTCTAGAGCAAATGCAGCCATAGTGTGATCCATATACTTGTGGTTGATGGGACTGCTTGTTACAGCCTTGGCTGCTACTGTGTTGAAGAGAAAAAATGTTTAATTCCTTGAGTGTGAGACCAGGGTATAAGATCATCCAGGGGAAAGGTTACAGGTTTGTCTGTTGATGTAATAAATTTAGAAACTATTGCTTCAGTGTAGGGTACAGTGTCTTTATATACAGACACGTATGTTTTTATCCATCCCTTTTAAAGAGATAACAAAGTGCATGTCAAGCACTAGGCCGCCTCGTTTGCTCATGCAGGAGAAGATTGCATATGGATTTCTTGTTATTTTTCTCACTGTTTAAAATAAATACTAGCCTGCTAACCATTCTATGTGTCCAGTATTTTAGAAAGATTGTTATAAAATTAGAAACAAAATTGCAGTTCTGTTTCCTTAGGCAACCAGCAACATGCTAACGACCAATACATGTTTTTAACCCATGCTATCAAAACTCATCTCCAGAATATCATCCCCTGCTAGTTGTAGAGAGATTGGAATTTGAGGAAGTTGTCTTTTTTTCTTTTTGTTTTCCTTCCTTTTTTTTTTTTTTTTTTTACCTATGGAAGAAAAGCTTTTTGTTGAACTCCTTAATAAGCTCCTGACAGAAACCCTTGGCAGTGGGAACTGAATCTGTACTTCCACATCCGGTGATTGCCCTGTAATAGTGATGGGAGGAGGACAAAGGACAAAATGTGTCAGGCATCGTATTGCCTCAGCATTTCACTGTCCATAACAGCGTTATTCAAACTCACCAGTAAGCGAGACTGTTGTCGTGCTCAATGGCATTAGCTCCTAACATGTCATTTTTCCACTCAAATTCAACAGGGACACAGATGACATAAGTTGGTGCCTTCGGTCCGTTTTCCCTTAAGTTTATCACTGGCATGACTAACCGAACCATCTCTGGATATTTTGAGAAAGAAGAAGGCACCTCTCCAAGGAGCGATCCCAGCGGGAGCCTGCCCGGCGGGCGGGAGCTGGGCTTTGCTGGCGCAGCCGGTTCCCGGCAGGCGGGGGCGCGGCAGCCCCTGGCCCGGGCCGGCCCCGCTCCGCGCGGCAGGCAGAGGTAGGGAGCGAGCCGGACCAGCCCTGGAACGTGTCCCCAGCTCACAGACCATGTGGGAAATCGGGAAATCGCATCCCCGACACCCTGTAAAATATTTTTTCGTTTAAGAAATATCCTTAGTTTCCGCTCGGGCATGTGTTAAGTGCAGGAAAACGCTCAGTTCCCTGTGCATTGTAGAACAGTGCTGTAGTCTGGCAAGGCTGGTTTGCTGTAGCTATTCCCAACGCTCTTGGATTCATCGCTTTTCTAACTGCCTGAAGAATTGCTGGAATTACTGTCAGATATCCTGTTCTAGTAAGAAGTGACATTTAAATGTGTAAAACCATTTCACGTTTTTACTGATATGTTTATAACAGATTGCAATTATTCTCTAAAAATATACTAAAAATCCTACTTCGTACAAATGCTTCCCCAATCTATTTTTTTATCCTTAAACATGTTATTTTTCCAGAAAAAGGCACAAAGGGATCCATTACTTTTCCTGTCTTTAAAAAGAAGATTCTTAAAAAGCCTCCTCTCAATCAACTGAACTGTTTTAATGAAAATTTCAGAAACTTAGTGCAAAGACAGTTGTTTTATATTTGCTTGTTTTATTTGAATTTTAAAATCTCCACATGGTGATTTCAACTAAGGTTCTGTGTCAGGGAAATCCAGAAGTGAAGTTGACCAGAGACAAGTAAAAATGCCTGTGTTGTTTTCATTGTCCAAATGTAATGATG